AATTAATTTTGGTTAGCGGCTGGCCAAAGAGATTTGGTTTCCATATCCACAATTTGGCCCAATCCCTAATCCAATCCAGCTGGAAATCAATACACTGGACTGCACACACACACACACACACACAGCTACACACACACACAAAGAGAACATTTTCCATATCAACTAACAATCTGTATCTGAATCCGTATCCGAATCCGTTTAAAATTTCATGCCAAAGCAAACACATAAAAAATATTAATTAAAAATACATTTTGATAATTTTACGTGAAACCGAATCTGACATCCGCCATGAGGGAACAATGAAGGGGTGTGCAGGCGCGGGGGGCTGCCCCTTCTATTTGCCTATGGATGAGCTCAGATATTTGTATATGCCGTGGCGCGCGCGCCAGTAACAGTTTTTTTGTTGGTTTTTTGCGGCTTTGCTGCTAAATATTTTCTCAATAATTAATTGTTAATATTTTAACAAGTCTTCGGGCAGCCATAGATCTACTATATGATGAATGTTGAGCGGTGAATTCCGTTCCGTTCCGTTCCGTGGTTTGATGGATGCCTCAAAGCCACAGCTGGAGACCACACACACAGCGACACACAGTTCTTCGAGTAGTTTTCTGCGACTTGGACATGGTCGAGTGCTCTTGTACCCAAATGTTTAATCGTTTATTTTTGGTGCTTTGATTTTTCTCTTTGCAGTTTTGCTGGCCTGCTGCTTGGAGGAGACGGAGGCCACGCGACGCGTTAACCGCGGTCGTCGCACCCTCACCCGCCGATACTTTAGTGAGTCACACACAGATCTATGATGGATGATTGGATGATTGCTAACCGTATTTCCTCTTTCTCCTATTCCTTTCAGATGGCCTCGCCATACCCGGCTGGGCATTGATCATCTGCGTGGCCCTTGCCGAGCTGATTGTGGGCGGAGCACTGTACTTTATCATGAAGAAGGTGATTCTGGACAAGGAACCCGAGGACACTGCAACCTCTTATACTCCAGCTCCCACCACCTACTCACCGGCTGCCGGCACCCCCGGCACCCCCGGCACCACCTACTCACCGGCTGCCGGCACCCCAGGCACCACCCATACCCCCGGCACCACCTACACCCCGGCCCAGACACACGAGACGGCCAGTGCCACACCCAGCCCACCCCCGACGCATGCCACGACCATTGCCTGAAGTAACAGCCGGAAGTAGTCCGCAGTCCACACTCCATAGAGCACCATCCAATCCGATTCAATTCAATGCAATTCAAGCCATAAACTGGAGCATTATTGTCATCAAAAATCTGCATAAATCACACACAAACACCCACAAATTGCTTAGGTTCTGTGCTGTGCCCTTTTGATTACCTCCATTTGTTCGAATAAAATTCATTTTCTTATACAAAATAAAAGGCCAATCAAAACTAGTTCAGATCCGCATCTAAACGATCATTTTGCTGGGGTGTTTCGTTGGTATTTTATTGCACCGGCACCCATTAATCGGATCCGGCATGTGCTTTGCTCTGCTCAGCTCTTCTCTCTCTCTCTCTCTCTGCACACATTTCCGATCTAGTTTAATTGCTGGCTGGCACCAGCCACACGCCACGCTTCTTGTGGAGCTTCTGCCTCTGGGTAAACTGGTTTTTGTGGCCACTTCTGTGTGTGGCATAGAGCGGGGCTGTAGCTTACAGATTGTTGGATAGACTGTGGCAATGTCTTGCATACTTTTAAACGGAAAAGCAGAGAGTGATGGGCAATCGGCTTGCTTAAGGCTGGCTGCTTCACAGAGACCCAGAGACACCCAGAGACACCCAGAGACAAATTGTTATCAATATTCTTTCTGTAATTTTCTCTAAAACTGCAAAGAGATCGCTTCTAAACGCTTTCTGTGAGCACTTGATTATCCATTGGCCTTTCCTCTGCTCAGCTCTAACAATTGAGAACCCAAAATTCCTGCAATTGTTGGCCGAAATTGCTTTGTAGTTATATCTCTAGTCTAGTGGCTATATCGCTGACTGATTTCGCAAGCCACTTGTGAGTGGGGGGCACTCGAAGCTTCGCTTTGCCGCTGACAAATCGAAATTTATTATAAACGCAATTGAAAAATCCCCAAGGCGGCGGCACTTGAGCCAAAGTCCTGAGAGTCCCTCCCCAGTTCTGAGCCATCGCTATGGCTCTGCTACAAGTGCACAAGTACGAAGCGAGCGGCGTGGCGTGGCATGGAGCCGAGTCAAGGGCCTGGAAGCCAAGCAGCTGTAAATGCCAACGATTGCCGCAGGCAAAAGCTCCTAGCTCCCAGCTCCCAGCTTCAGCTGCAGGGCAGAGCTACAGACACGAAGCGGCAGCATAACCAAAGCGGATTCCAAAATTGACACAAAACAGACAAAAAGCAAATCGTTTAGGCATCGAATTCGAGAATGGGCTGCAAGGACGCTGACTAGGATGTGTCTCCAAGCCCATACAGACACACACATGCAACGAATTTTGGGTGCAACGGAGACCACTCTGATCCCGGAATATCAGGGACAGCCAGCCAGCTGAAGGATACTTTGGTTTGGCATAACAAAGCCACACAAAAGAGTTGCTCCTGCATGCAGAGCATCTGTCTGTGTTGTTCCCGAAACCATTTTCGCCTTGAATGACGCTCTGTTCCCTCTACAATTTTATGGGTCAACTCTGGCGTTGCCACTCTCTCCTCTCTGTGTGGGATTAGGCTGCGGAATTTGCAAGGGATTGCAGCACAAATAACTTGAGGGAGAGAGAGAGACTGCACAGGGGGGTTTTAAGTTTATCAACATATCGTCAATGTTGTTGCTCCTCTGTTGTCGGCCAGCAGTTGCTCATATTTATTTATGGCTCATACCCTTTCGGGCATTGCTGCATAACCCTGAGCGTGGACTGGTCACAACTTGGTTGGATTTCAGCAAAAGGGTGGAGATTGGGCGCTCTGGGTGTTGAGTGTGCATCTTCACAGGGCGCCAGGACAGGCTGACAGTTTGGCAGCCGCTTCACAATGTTATCAAATTTTTCCTGCCACCCCTCTCCCCATACATACATCTTTGTATCTCTGTGGCTGTATCTGTATCTGCTGCTCTTGCTGTGGGGATTTAGACATGTACACTTGTTGTAAACAACAACATTAACAAGGGTTTTGCCTGGGAGGAGGAGGGACACACTCATAAGCATTCATTGGAAATCCTTTTCGATTTATTTGCGTATTCAAACGGAAACATTTAAAGTGATTGCGGATGCAAATATCCCCCATACCCAGCAGCCATCCCAGCAGCAACAACAAATGCTCTGATATACGGCGATACCTTCCCCACTTCATGCCTTTCCTTACTTTGCCTTTACTTTTTCTTTCCTTTTTCCTGTTTTCCTGTTTTCCTTATTTTTTCTTGGCCTGTTTTGTGTGTGGATTTTCCAAGATCTGAGCGCGTGCCTGGCAACATTTGCGGTTTTTGCGCAAACTTCACACATTTTCTTGTGTTGTGTTTTGTTGGCTGTTTGGAGCCTCACTTTTCTTCGTGCCTTTCTTTTGGGCATGAGAATTTCAATTTTCACACAGGTGCCGATGCTCGGTCGTGTGTTTTTTTCACAAAGAAAAATAAATATCAATCATACGCCCCAGTGGCCTCCCAGCCGCAGCTTTTATGTGTTGAATTTTCGAATGATATTTGCTTAAGCAATTAGTTAAATGCTCTCCTCGCAGCCCACACCCTCTGTGTGAGTGTTCCACTTCCACTTATGGCAGGGGTATAATCTTTAATCGTTTTTTCTTCCTATTTCCAATTGAATTTCCCACCCCCCCCGCCCCCCGCTGATCCAAACATTTCGTGTGCTCTGGGTGCTTTTGGCACGAATGTGCGACTATTCCGTTCCATTAGGTTCGCACTAAACCACTAAAAAAGTCTGTTAATGAGTCGAAATTGTTTGATCAATGAGAACGCGATGTGTTCCCCCGATCGAGTCAGCTGCTCCACTTGCACTGCCAGAGCTCTAGCTTCTGCTTCTGCTTCTACTTTTGTTTAATTTATGGCCAATTGTTAATGCCTTCGCTGACAGCGCGTTAATTGCTCGCCAGCTGCCAGCCGCCAGCTGAATCGCCTCCCGGGCACATGCCTAATCGTATCGCATCGCATCGCATCGCATCATTCTCAACCCAAATCGGTTCCATTGATACGAATGCGAGTTCTGGTAGCTTCCCCATGCACTTGTCCGTTTGTCGAGTGCCAGCACTTGACTGAGGCTGACTGAGATTGGACGCCTTATCGGGCCTCTTGAGGCATTCCTTCTAAATGGGTTAAACGATGTTTAAAGGCAGACCAGCAAAGACCAGCAAAGGCTGCCCTGAACAGCCGATAAATATCATTAAACTTTAAGCCACTTTCACTGGGGCGTTTATGCAAATCGCTTGCCCAAAACCTGCAACAAAATGCAGTCTGTAGACTGCAGTCTCTGCTGTCTGGGGTCTGGGAATACATTTGTAACGAATTACCAATCAATTGACCAAAGAAACAAACAAATAAACCGAATCCCAGACTGCAGACTGGGCGAGCGGAGTGGAGACCGCAAAAGTGAGGACTGCCCCTGCCTTTTGGGTGCATGTGTGTGTGTGTGTGTGGGAGTGGCAGAGGCAGAGGCCCAATAGTCTGTAAAACGATTTGGAATTGAAATTGCAGTGCAACTAAAAATAAGAACAATTTAAATAAAATAAAACCACAACGGGGGCCGGCTCTCTGTGGCTCTGGCACTGCCACCAGCTCTGTGAATAATTCAGCAAGAGTGGAATACGAGTACAAGTAGTAAGCAGCAGCAGCAAATTAAATCAAATAGTTATATCATGCGAATAAATCGCTGTGCTGTGGATATCGCACATACACCCCGTTGACCGCACAAAGCAACCGCTGTCTGCTGCCTGCCTGCCTGCCTGCTGCCTGCTGCTATCCAGTACGGTGCCGGCACCAGAACGGTACCGAGACTGAACCCCAGAAGCTACTTACACGCCACGCTCGTCGCTCTGGGCATCAGTACGCGCTCCGTGCTCAGCCGCAGCAGATCGTGAATGTGAACGTGGTCTACGACTTCCACTCCGACTCCGTCGCGTTTCCGTGTCTCCGGTTGCATTTCCTCTCTCTCTCTCTCTCTCTCTCTACCTCGAGCTAGATATAACTAAAAAGCGCACAAATATTTGCGCACAACTGTGTGGAGTGAGGCGGAGACGACACTCTGCCGCAGCAACGACTTCCTGTCTGTGCCACTTACGGCTTCTGAATCCACAACCCACCAGCCCGACCCATACACGTGCTGCAACGACTGCGGCGTGGATTTGAGAGCATAAACTCCGACTCCAACTGCGACTCCGCTTCGATTCCTGCCTCAATCAGGGGCCAGCTTCTTCATTTGTTATTTTTTGCCATCGCCATGCATTCGCCGGCTGCCAAAGTGTCGGGCTACATTGTCCTGATGATTGTGCAAATAATTTTCCTGGTCCTATTCTGGCTGTTCGTGCGTTACGAGAAGACGGCCATGCCGCCGGCACTCGGCACTGAAGACGCTGGATCAGCAAACGAACACGTTTCGAAATATCCGCGTGAGTAGCAAGGATTTCCCGTGTCTCCCTTCATGTCAACCCGCACTTTCCGCTATGCCACCCATCATCCCACTGACCCTCCCTGAGTGTCACACCCATTGGGATTGGTTGAACATTTTATAGATATATTTTAAGCTTAACCAAAGATGTGCGACAATATCTATTAACAGCTTGTGGGTCTCACTTTTGGGATCTACTTTTTGCTACAATTAATTTGCCATCGGAGGCTAATGAAAGTCACTAAATAGCAGAAACGGCTCCTAAACTGGACACTGACTAAGACGCACCTCTTTATCTGCATGTGACTTTGGTGGAAGGTTTGTGGGTGTTCCCATTCCGACTGCCTCCACCTGACCATATCTCTGGACACATTTATGGGTGGGTGTTAGTGCTACGTCAATAGATAGCGCTCAAACTGTTGCCTAAATTAGTTTGAATCACAGCGGAGATTACTCTACGAGCGCTGCTCCACTCCACAAGTGCCACTCCACGGCGAGAAAAAAAAAACAAAACAATTAGAGGCCAGCGCCCCCCAAAAGTATTCAACGACATAAGCCACAGTTGAACCTTTAAATCAAAGCAACAACTTTTGGGGCACACAGACACAGCCACAGACACACACACAGTCCTCCCCACGTCTCGTAGAGACAGAGCTATTACCCATTCTGTTCCGCTTTTTCCAAAGCATACACTGAGAGAAATTTACTTTTAATTGGATTTAAAATTGTTTAGCAAGCGATAGACAGCGCGAATGGACAAAGTTTTCACTTAGATTTTCACATAAAATATACAAATAATTGATTTAAATATAAGAGATTGATTTAAAAAATATTTCAAAATTAAATAAAACATAAAATAAATGTCCTGCAAATTAAATATATTTTCTTTTTTATCAATAGCTTCATATTTATATGAGATATTCAATTTTCGAATATTTATGAATTATATTTTTAATTTTCAAATATTTTTAAATGAAATATTTTCCCAAATTTGGCTTAAATAAGCGAATATCTAATTTATATATGTAAGTTTTCTCCGCGTGTACACACAAGTTGTTCTAGTCTAATTTTTGGGGGTAGCAAGAAGTCAACCAAAGGAGTCAACTAAAGGAGCATCTAGCAATGCCAGGACCTCAGCCAGCAGCATTGTGTTTGCCAAGTGTTGGCGGGTCATAAATAAATGAAGTTATTTTTCAGACAGTGGAGCTGCTGCTGCTGCTGCTGCTGCTGCTGCTTGGTAGAGCAGTCTTTGGGGCTCCCGTGGCACCAATTCCATTAATTACTTTTGCCGCCACTCGCTCTCTCTCGCCCCCATCCGAACTGAAAACAAATATGTAGCCGAACAATACACCCACAGATCCACAGATACTCAAGCACACACACACACACACACATACAAATGAATAATTAAAGTCATTAATTTCAATTTATGCAAATGCGTCTGTAAACAACTTGTTGCAATTCATAATAAATAAATTAAACCGTATTTCACACTAATTGCACCCGCGCGGAGCACACACAGACACACAGATAGAGAGGGTGGCACACTGGGGACGTACTAGGGGGAGTGGTGCTCTGCTGCAACTTCAAGGGGCAAGACCAACACATACACACGTAGAGAGTGGCATCTTCCCTTGGTGTGTGCCCTGGTGACATCAATCTCAATGCAATTGACTTTTGGCAGCAGACAATTGGGCGGTTAATTGAAACGACTTGACTCAATTAATTGGCATCACAACCCCACGAGCAGCCTGGCACACTTATCCCCAAACTCCCCCCACCAGCCACCAGCCACCACCCACATCCAATAAGCACCCTGCTACCCTTTACCCCTTTGCACACACAGAGTTCCAGGACATACAGGTGATGATCTTCATTGGCTTTGGCTTCTTGATGACCTTCCTGCGCAAGTACGGCTACAGCGCCACGGGCTTCACGTTGTTCATGGCCGCCCTGGTGGTCCAGTGGTCCATCCTAATGAAGGGTTTCCTGCACATGGAGGGCGGCACGATCAGGTAAGAGTCCGCCAGCGTGACATCAATTTATTAATTGCTTTTGCCCCTCAACGCTGAACCCAGTGGCGGAAAACAAAATAAGTTGGGGGAAAAAAGAGACACCCACACAGACAGCCCAGAAGGTGAAATGAATTCCAAGCAATTACTCTAAATGGAGCAGCCTGAAATGGGTTTGGGGTTTGGGCTGGGGGCACTGCTACTTATGCTAAGTGAAATGACAAACAAAGGACAAGAAACAGCTCCTTCCAGCAGCTCCAGGACAGTTGGAAATGCTTTAAAATGTATTTCCATTTCATTTCATTTGTTCGCCATTTGCCCTTTTTCTTAGATGGCGCCCATTTTGTATGCATGTCAGTGGCAGGACATCCGCGACAGCTCTTGAGCGCGTGGGCGTGTCACCTGTCACAGTCTTTTTTGCTGATGCTCCTTCTACCCTACTCCCCCTTGCAGCCTCTCGCTGGAAAACATCATCGATGCGGACATTGCCGCCGCCGTGCCCCTAATTAGCATGGGCGCCCTGCTGGGCCGCACCACGCCCATTCAGCTGCTGTGCATGTCCATCTTCGAGGTGGCCCTGTTCGCGGCCAACGAGTATCTGGCCCTGAATGTCCTCAGCGTAAGTCCAACCACCGACGACACCAAGGGTGGCCCAGAGTGTGTGACTTTTTCCCTTTCTTTCGCAGATCTGCGACTGCGGTGGCTCCATCACGGTGCACGCCTTTGGCGCCTACTTTGGATTGGCCGTGGCCCTGATGCTGCGCCCAGCCAGCGACCAGAACGAGGCGGGCAAGCACGAGGGCGCCAACTACACATCCGACATTCTGGCCATGATCGGCACCACCTTCCTGTGGGTCTACTGGCCCAGCTTCAACTCGGTACTGGCCGCGGGCACTGGCGCCGAGCGGGCCATTTTGAACACGTTTCTGTCATTAGCCGCGGCAACAGGTGAGTCACGTGCCGCACTCTGTGTCGGCGACAGGCGACAGGCAACAGCGACAACGTCTGCAATTAGCTGTAGCTCAAGTGGAGGTGCAGCATTCACCCATTCATTCCATTCTCCCGCGTGCATATCGCCCTGCGGCTGTCTTTGCTCACACATCTTCATGCCTCATCCCTATCCTGTACAGTGTCTGACCAGCTTCGTTAATTATAATGTTGGCGGGCCTATTAACAAGCTGCCAAATGAAATTGAAAAGGCCCCGAGACCAGGATTCGTGATGCTCCCACTACCACTCCTGGCACTCCAAATCCTTATGCATGCGCCTCACAAACTAATTAAATGTCAAATAGTTTCGTTAACACATTTGAAAATTTATTTTGAGCACGTAGAGCACATAAAAACGAACCAAATGGGTGTGGGGGATGAGAGAAGGAGCAGCCGGACAAGGACCAGCCGCGTCGGTCAGCCTCTGAGGCTGGGGGCCGTCTCTCTCGCTCTCCCTGTGCAGCAGTAAGCAGTGGGGTCGGGGCTCTGGTATCCCAGAGTCTGGTGCTCGGTTAATGTAAATAACAAAACACAAATTAAATGTATACAAAGGACCTACAGCAGCATAGCAACCTAACATGGCATCCATAGGACAGCAGCAACAGCCATAATAATAGTAGGAGCAACAGCAGCTGAGATAAGCCAAGCTCCAAGCGGTACGAGGATATGGTCGAGGGATGGTCCAGGGCAAGGACTCGGAGGTCCTCAGTCTCAGTCTCACTCTCGGTCTAGGTTTGGGCCTGTCTCTCTCCCTCTGCTTGTGCCTGAGCGAGGGTATTAAAGCCCACACGTTACGGCGACCGAGTAGGTAACACCTAGCACAAGGCACACGAGCTTCATAGAGCTGCGGGGCTGAGGGAAATGCTAAACGAAGTTGGGATGCTCTCACAGAAGTGTTGGCTGAAGTGCTGATATTTTTAGGCCTGAAAGATTGGACACCAATAGATGGGAGTTCTATTTTTATAATGGATTGTTTTCTTGGGCTGTTTTCCTCGCAATTGAAGTGCACTTTTCAGCCTCTACTCTTCCCTATGCCTATGGGTGTTATAAAGACCCAGATCCCGAGTGTTTACAATGGCTAACTACGGTCAGAGAGAGAGAGAGAGAGAGAGAGAGACAACGATGCCCAGATAGAGATAACAAATGGAGAGCGTGGGCGAGGGTGGTGTCTCTGGGTAGAGCATTTTATGCGGAAGGATGTGCGATTAGTTGAGTCAACGTGCGGCTGTCGCTCCGACGTTCCGGTTGCAGTATCCTTTTTCCCCTCCTTCCTCCGCTCCAACTTCATGCCTGCTGCTTGCCTCACTAGTTGTTGCCTTAATTAAACTAAAGCTGGGGTTCAGTTCAATGCTGAAATTAGAGGCGGTCTGGCTGGGTGTGACCGTCGTCGTCGTTCGTGGCACCATGTTGTCCATGCGGGAGGGTACGATATGCACAGAGGACATGTACAGGGGCCACTGGACACAGGACACAGGACACACACACACACACAACAGGGCGGCAGACGGCAGACGCCATTTGGTGTCCAAATGCGGCGCCAACAGCAAAAATACGCCCCAGTTGTTGTTTTCACACCAAGGCAGGCAGCACCACCAAAATGAGAGCCCAAAGTACGAGCCTTGTGTGGGTCCTGGATTTGGGCTTGAGTCTGGCTCTGGCTCTGGCTCTGGTCAGTGTCGTCGTCCGGAGTCTGCCCGCATTGGCCGACAATGTTAAGCACCAAAACACATTTTACAGTCGCAAGTGACACCATTGGCGTTAATTTAAATTGTTTAATGTTCGAGGAGCCACCCCTGACACATCCAGCTGAATCTCGGATGCCTTTGGCTTGGCTTTGGTTTAGTCCGAGTACTGCAAGTGGATCTGTGGGTAACACAGAGACAAGGGACAAGGGACAAGGGATCTGGGTCCTGGGTCCTGGGACCGGCTTTAAAAAAGCTGTTTAATTGATTTTTAAGCCAGAATTTGCTGTTCTCGTAATTTTGTGTCCAGCCACCGACAACGTCAAAAGCTGTTTTGAAATTGTTGCGGTTGCCCCCGCACTGTGTCCCTTTTGGTTGTGATTTGGCTTACTTATTTGCTATGTGGCATCCTCTCTGGTGGTCCCCTCTGGTTGCCGCCTGCCTGGTTTGGCCAACTAATTTATGCAAATTATTATTGCTGCAACATATGTTCCGCCATAAAATGGAGATTTTTAAGTATTTAGTGTTATTCAGGCGAGATTTATGCTTGCCAAAGTCCATAAACTCAAGTCCCTGTGTCCTTGTTAGGACCCAGTTATGGTGTGACCAGCCGGGACACTCTCCAAAGGGGAAAAGCGAGGATCTTGGCACTTGGCCTGCTTACATTTTTATTAGTTTTCGTGTTTATTATGAAAATGTGTGTGGCTGTGGTTGTGGCAGGGATTGTGGCTGCTGCTTTTGCTGCTGCTTGAATGATTTAGCATCCTACAGATACAGCAGGCTACAATGGCTTGTATCTTAATTCAGTGCCTGCCCAGCGAGAACTTCCTTAATGAACTCCCCAGCTGCCCGACTGCATTCAAATATTCATTAAAAATCGTGTAATTAAGCCAAGTAACCCATATACTAACCATCCATTCAATTCACGCTTCATTCAATCCACGACTCAGTGCTCCAAAACCAAAACCAGAACCTAAACCAAAACTACTATGCGCTTCCTGTGCCGCATCCTTCTCTGCCGCTCTTCCTGGAGTGTTCCATTTGTAACCCCAACTTCTTCTTCACTCTCCTTTCCCGTACAGTGACCACCTTCGTGGTGTCCGCACTTGTCAGCCATGAGAATAAATTGGATATGGTGCACGTGCAGAACTCGACTCTTGCCGGCGGCGTGGCCGTGGGAACCGTGTGCAACCTGCTGCTCGGCGCACACGGCGCTGTCTTAATTGGCATTATCGCCGGCACGGTTTCGGTGCTCGGCTATCGCTATTTAACCGTAAGTTCAACTCGAAACTCCCATCTGCACAGCCCCCACTCTCTTCCAGAACACGCAAAAACTGAGAACACACAAAAAAAACTAACATAAAAAGAGAAAACAGAGAGATGGTGCCGCTGCTGCTGGTAGTCCCTCCTGGCTGCCATGCCATACAAAACATAACCTGCTATTCAAATGCCTCCAGTTACTGGGGGAATGGGTATGCAGATGCGGATGCCGATGCCGATGCCGAATGGGGGGAGTAAGGAATCCGGAGCAGGAGGTGGAGTTTTGCTGTCCAGCGGTGGCTTCACTTTAATTAGTGCGCCTAGCGAAAAATGCGACGCTAATGAGTAAAGTTTGTTGCCCGGCGGCCTGGCCTGGCCGGGCCATAGCCCTGGACGTAGTCGGACACAGCAGCAGCACTACCGAAATCCGTGATGTTTTTCGCCGGAGCTGAAGCGGCAAATAAATTTGCACAGCAACTACAAATGTTCCTCTAATGACAGTACTCGTACTCCTACTCCTGCCACCTTTCTGGCTTAAATACATTTTAATTTTATTCAGAAAATTACCTGAACTTTAAGAGAAAACTCGCATTTGCGTGTGACATTTTTGCATTTCATTTTATAGCCATGGTTAACTGCGAATCTGCGGCTACATGACACCTGTGGCGTTCACAATTTGCATGGAATGCCGGCCCTGATTTCGGCCATTGCCTCGGCTATTTATGCCTCGATGGCCACACAGAATGACTACCAATCCGAGTTGCAGGAAATTTTCCCAGCCATGGTGGGCAACAATGGCACTGCCACCAAATTTATGGGCGTGAGTACTACAGCTATTAGTTTATGGCTAGGAAAACCCATTGATAACTCTCTCTTGGCAGGGTCTCGGTCGGAATGCCAGCTCCCAGGCGGGCTATCAATTGTTTGGCATTGCCTTGACGCTGCTCATTGCCATAGGCGGTGGAATACTGGCAGGTAAGCGCGATGTTAAAGCAGAAAAATCAGTGAAAATCAGCGAAAAAATAAACATTTTTCCACCACGACTAGGCACCGTTTTGAAGTACACAAACTTCAGCAACCTGCAGAAGGACGAACAGCACCAGGATGAGCAGTACTGGGAGGTGCCAGCGCCGGAGAGCAAAGAGGAATAGTTAAGTTTTGTGCCTGTCCAACCAAGTGGCCTGGCCACCACCAACACCACCACGAGTATCGAATGTGCCTTGTCTAATTAGCTATGATTATGTATTAACTTTTACTTAATTTACTTAATTTTTATTATACACTTATTATGATATGCACACAGCACCCACAGCCTGCTTTCATCCTGCAACTTTTTACCCCCTCTCCCACGTCTAAAGTTTGTTTAGTTTTAATTCTCAATTTTGTTTGTCTGTTGTGGAAATATTGTGATTTTGATTTGATTTGATTCGACGCCTCTTTTTGCAGTGAACTAGAAAAAGTTGAAGAACTTTTGTTGTAAGCGTCCAAAATGCATCCAAACGAGCAGCACAGAAGTCCAGAGGAAAGGACAATGGGATACGACAATCCTTTGTTGTCCTTCGCCTGCTTCGCTTAATTTTTGTAGACATTTTGTCGCATTTAATTAAAAACTCCAACAATTTACACATTTAATTAGCGCAGAGCACAGCCAACGCAACTAACAAAAAAGAAAAAAAAAAAACGAAAAAAAAACGCACAAAAAAAGTTATTAGCAATAAAAATATTTTAAATGTGACATTGCTGCCCTCTCGAACTCCCCGTACACCCGTACTCCCACCCCCTTCCTTCTCTTTTTGCATTTATTTCGCATGCTGAGCGCAATTTTTAATGGAATTAAAATCATACACATAAAATCCAACAACCAACGAACGAACAAACCCAACAAATAACATCCCGACGCTCAACAACAATGGCGCGTAAAAAGTTTAAATATGCTTGGCGAACTTTTGGATGATGCCGCCAATGCCTCTGCCACTGCCACTGCCACTGCCACTGCTGCTGCCGCCCAGACTGCCGCCGCCGCCAACTTTAATTGGCGACCATTTCTGCTACGCAACTGGAATGCAATTGTCCCCGCCAACAATTTGTACGTGCGGGGAAATCTGCACTGAGGAGGCATCAGCTATGGCGCCGGCTCAGAGGAGGAGAAGATGGAGCAGGAGTAGGAAGAGGATGAGGCCAGTACCAGCACACGCTAATTAAGTGGCCCAAGACAAAGTGCCAGCTAATTAGCTGACTTTTGGCCAAGACACCGCCCCTGGTTCCGGTTTCGCACTGCAGTGTCTTTAGTCCCCCACAGCAGGGGCACCCGATCCGGTCAGCTTTTGGCCAGCTCAGTCGGCGATTAGTGCACCTGGAACCGAGACAAGAGACCAGAGACAAGAGACAAAAGCAGACCAAGAATAATGTCTTTCAAATGACACTCGCCCGGCGATAAGCTGGCGGCCAACTACTTAAGGTGGATTTGCCTCCTCCTCAACCCAATAAAGAAAAGCCCCAAAGGCAAACAATTACTTGGAAAAGTTCAACAAGTTTCAATAAAATTGTCAACCTCTCAGCGTCGTTGGCAGGGGTAAACCCTTGGGGGGGGACTCATTTACAGCTAGCCTGATACTTAGATGATGAGCAATGGGAATAGATTGCATTCGTGAGAGGAAACTTTCAAGATGTGGCCTAACAAAAATCCGTAAAAATAATATGAGCAAAATAAATATATATATAAAGAGATAAAATAATAATAAATATTATATAATAAAAAGAGTATGTAAAATATAATTTATATAAATATAAATAAATAAACACGAAGTAGATAAACATGTGTGAAAAATGTTGATATAAAATTTGAAATAATTGGCTGTCTAGCACCACAGCAGCAAAGATTAATTAGAGGAATGGCAAAATATCTCAATCAATATCTCTCTCTCTCTCTTACCTTTTCGAACTTAATATTGCGCCATTACGTTTTTTTATTGTTATTGCGCCGACGATTTTGCGGTTAAGTCGGAAACGAAACGGTTTATTAACGAACGATTTACGAAACGAATACGAAAACGAACAAGCACAACCAAGGAAATTTCAATAACTCCATATTTTTAGATTAGATTAGATTGACATAAGGTGAGGCATAACTGCCCGAAAGGGAGGGAGAGAGCGAGAGATCACCAAGACCTCACCTCACCACGCACTGATACACTTGGTACGAGAGAGCGTAGACACGCTGCGCTCGCGCCTTTCTCATTGCTTTTCTCCTCTTCTTCACATTGGGCATTGGGGTGGGAAAGGGACTGCACACACAAACACACGTACAAACATTGCCAGAGATCACGTGACCAAACGAAAAAAGTATATGTATGCATGATATCAAAATGTTGTATGTTGTTACTTCACTTCACTTTCACTTATTTCTTTATTCTGCCTCTGCCGCTCTGCCATTTGTATGCCATTTTGCCAACTGCTGCCGCCGCTCTGGATCAGGAACTTTGCCATTTTCGGGCCTTTTTCTTTTAAAACACTGCCCCACTATAATGCACTACCACTTCACTACACTTTTCACTTCACAACAACACTGCACTGCACCACACTGAACCTTCACTTTTCACTTTCACTTTTCACTTATTGCCAACCGCTGTCGCTGCTCTGCCTTTTCTATGCCATTTTGCCGCCTGCTGCCGCCTCTTTGGATCAGGAACTACACTGCAACCACTTCACTGTACATTTAATTACACCAAACATTGCACTGCACCACTGCGCGACAATTTTCCCGATGGATTTTTCATCCATTTCCCGATTTTCGCGACCCGAAACGCGGAGCTGACTCAAAACCACGCGCTTTGTCCGTCCGAAAAATTGCAAGTGAGAGAGCGGCGCAGATTTTATTGCGTAGGTGGCTTAGCTTCTAGAACATTCCATGCTCTCCTTCTGATGCTCTTTCTAACTGCTCTCTCATTTGACTTTGTCTTTTGTGTTCTAATACTCCAAGAGAGCGAATGTTTGTGCGTGTGTTGTGTGACCTCGGTACCTGTGTTGGCTTGTGAATGGAGAGGGGAGTAGAAGCACCGTAACCCATAAGGGAGTAGAGACGGTGATATTGGGCAGCATGGAATGTTCGACAAACTAAGCCACCTACACATTCAAATCTGAGCTGCTCTCACACTCTGTCCGTTTCTTGAGCGCCCTCTTGCTAATGCAACGGTTAATTGCGAGAAGGGGAAATTGCTGTGCAACCGAGTTGGCTTGTGGTGAGAGAGGAGAGAAGATGCCTAGCAGATCATAAGCTGAGCATGAGAGCTGACAGTGCAGAAAAAATTGCATGTGAGAGAGCGGCGCAGATTTTTATGCGTCGGCGGCTTGGTTGCTAGAACATTCCATACTCTTCTTAAGAAGCGCTTCCTAATTGCTCTCTCATTTGACTTTAACTTTTGTGTTCTTCCTCCACTACTTTAACAGAGCGAACGTTTGGACGAAAACTGGTTAATGCAACGGTGAATGGCGAGAAGGGGAAAAAGCACTGCAGCTGGAATGACATGCTGGGAAAGCGGAGTAGAAGAAGCTCAAAAACGAATTTGGTTCTCATGTGTGATGAAAGGCACAGCAAATGCAGCAAGAGACAAAAGGAAAGAGAGGGACACAACTAGTGTTGCTCTCCCACTAATGCATTTGTGTAAATGTGTGTTTGGTTTGGGGAATCTCTTTTGCTGGGCGGCTGTTTGCAATGTTTTCTTATCTTGTAATCTTTATGTGTACAGGAGGTTGAGGCGTAAGTTAATAGAGCTTGAATAAATAAACTTAATTTCAATTATCATTCAATAACATTGAACTTTTGAGTGGCGGGGGTAAGCTCATTTACCGCTTGAAAGAAGATGAGCTTGTGGTTATGAGAGAGGATTTCCCTTGACAATAATCCATAAAATTAAATGAGCAGAAATAAAAATTGACTGCCAATTCGAAAATGTTGATATAGTATCTCCCACATAATTGGCTCATTCATTTCGGTTGGCCATCGGCTGGCCGACAGTATCTGCCACTACAGATCTGTGGGCCAAGTGTGTGGCGCTCTCTCTCACTCTCTCTTCGGTTCTATGCGGGCAGGGCAGGGAAATTCCCCAAAAATACCCCCCCACAGGCGTAGTCAAATGAGTGGCCAAGGCAGCTACCAGACGAGTCTGGCAGGAATCGAGGATGGGAACAGGCAGAAGGGAGTACTGGAGACTGGCCTGGGTGTCTAGCCACACAAATAAGAGGATGGGCGTACCAAAGACCGAGTAGATTGTGCAATTTGGCAAAGTATTCCCCGGTGCACCGTTCGACTCTCCGACTCTCTCTCTCTCTCTTACGGTCGGCCAGACGCCAGTCAACTCTACTCTGTGTTTGCTTCGTGTCTGTGTGTGTGTGTGGATGTCTAAGTGCTGTTTTATTGCCATGTGGTTGGGTTGCTCGTTCGTCTGTGTGCCTGTCCGCCTGTCCACCCGTTCGATTGTCGTGTGCCGGCCGGGCCGGCCCAGACGGAGCGGACACTCACACGTCTATAATAATAATTAACAGCCTGAAACTGAAAGGAAAATATGTCGTCAGTTCCGTTGTTGGAACCCCAAACCCCCACGATATAAGCATGCAGGATATTTTATGCATGGCGCCCTGCCATGGAGTAGGACAACGACTGTCGGCTCTGACATGGTTGCCATAAAAAAAAGTGCACAAGCAGCAGCGACAAGGACTGCAATTAAGGGCAACTTTAAGCGCGTTGACAACTCTGCCGGCATCTCGACATTGACTTTGTCTTGCTTTTGCTTCACTCTCTCTCCCCCGCTCTCTCTCTCTACCACTCTCTGAGCTCTGCCTTTGCCTTTTGTCTGGCTGCAACAAATTGTTGGCCATAGTTCTTTCCATTGTAGTCGTACTTGTTCCTGGCTGATCCTTAGTCCTGCTGCTGCCGCTACAGCTGGGGGATTTGTTGGCGTTGGGCGTTCGGTTTAGTTTTAGTACCGTGTTCTGGTTCTCCTTTCAGCAGCTGCAGGAAACTCCCCTCCGGCAGAAACTTGTACAGCATTTTGCAACAGTAATTTTTTGGGTGTTGTTTCCGTTCGGCGTTGACAGCAGCCTCCCCCCTGCTTCCACACTGTTTATGGCCAGACAAATGGCCCCGCCTGCAGTTCTCTCTCTCTCTATCTCTTGGCCTTGGGTCGTACGGGTTTCGGGTCGCCCATTTGCTTAATGTTTCATCGAGGGAGAGAGAGCCTGACTGCAAAATTCATGATTTACGTTTAAGTGTCATTGGTGTTTAATTATTTAGTGGGAGCAGCCAGCGAGGCAGCCTGCCAGCACGCTTAAGAGTCACCCGAAGGCCACTGTGGGGGAGTCAAGGCATTCCCCAGATCCACTCTGCACTGTGCACTCCTCACATATCGCTGCTTGAGGATGGTGTTTGCTTACCTGTTCAGGGTGTGTGGGGCGCTGCTTTCCATTTCATTTTCCGGAACAACTCAGACCTTCGACTGCCAAAAATTTGAGCATGTAGCTTGGACTGGGACTGGGACTGGGACTGGGGGTTTGCTTCCATAAATATGCGCACACGGCACGCAATGGTGGGGCAGCAGCAGCAGCAGCAGCAGCACTTGGACCAGGGAGTGTGTGGGGCTGTAGTTGGAGCCGGCGGACCCTGCACAATTTGCAATACTCCGGGGACTTTTCACTCCACTGCCGCCAGTTGATATGGATACTGGTCTGTACCTCTGTGTGTGTGCTTGGGTGTGGGGCATGTACACACATGTGAAGGCATTCCAATGTATGGCACGGTGGTGTCAGGGCAACAAAACGTTCCCGGCTGTACACTGAAAGCAGAAAAGTGAAATTAAATAAATTGCGTAACATAATTTACGCTATCAAAACATGCACTACCCTCCAGTCCCCAAGGGTTACGCTACCCCCCTGCCAGCCACTGCACTTGTGTGTGTCCTGTGTGTCCTGTGTGTCCTGTGTGTCCTATGTGTCCTGTGACCTGCAGCCGCGTATCGCTCGCTGTCTCTCCTGGCGACTGTCGGAAAAGGCAGTGTGAATTTTAGGCTTCAATTAAATGTTAATTTTACAGAGCTTAAGCATGAAATTCGGTTTTGAAGGGGGATTACGATTCTCCCCCCCCCCCCGAGCAGGAACCAGAGGGAGGATTCTCCTGCTGGCGGCACTCGCACTCTCCACATCAACTTTTCATTAAGGCAATGTGTATTAAATTGTGTATTTTATGGCTGCATTTTAATCTTTTTTATTGGCAGAAGCTCATTTCTTTGAAGCAGAAGCTTACCTGGTGGTGGGGGGGGGGGGGGGGGAAGAGGTGCCAAAGAGTGGCGGAGTACAGGGGTGCTGCCGCAGAGAGAGTGCTTTCTGAAATGCTTTCTCCAAATATACATAAATAAATGTTTCAATGCAGCAGCAGCTGCTGGCGGCTCTTAAGCGCTGATGATGCCACACACGGCAGCGACGGAGGTTATAGATGGTTGGAGTGGGCTCTCAAGCAGCGACAGAATGCTCC